AATTCATCGATGCATGCAAAATTTTGGGCCAATATACTCGTAATCCACTAAAAATACCTCATTTGGAACAAATAGCGGAAAGTATTGATTTTAATAAGGATGGTTATATTGACTTGAATGAATTCCTGGAAGCATTCCGTCTTGTTGATCAAGGAACTGAATAAATGTGGTCGCATTTATCATATTTAGACTACCTAATATGATGCTCATCAATCATCCATTCAATAATTTACTGATTGAATAAATTATTGATTGATTTTAATTTTTGTTTTTTTAAGTAAATGAAATATTTTTGCTAATCCCAGCAATTCCAATAATTTATTTCTATTTTTTTCAATATCTGCAACGAATAAAAAAGAGTGAAAAAGCGCTTGTAAATGAGATCACCGATGTTTTATTGATAAACATAATATATTGATTATCGATCAGACTTTCTCTTCATAGAAACAGCATATCGATTACTCATAAAATCATCAAAATATTATTCCATCTAATATCATATCAACGTTCGATGCAGTAATCATTAATTGATTGGATTGTTGATCAGATGTGCGTGTATGTGCGTGTATGTATGTATGTATGCATGTATGTATGTGTGTATGTATGTATGTGTGTATGTATGTATGTATGTATGTATACGTGTGTTTGACGGCCAAAATCGTCGGAATCGTTAGAGTGGAATACCTAAATACACGCAACCGAATAAAAATGTATCACACCTGTGCTGTATTCACCTGAATGTACGTCATTGATTCGTTAAAAACAAAATGGAATGATAAATTTTAAAACTAGCGTTATAATACTGAAATCACTTAACAATACTTCCGGAAGTAAAAAATATTTCATTGCGGAAATTATAGCAATAATAAAAATATTGAAAAAAAGATATCGCACTGCTGTCACTTTCAAAGTTACGTTCACTTCTTAGAGGTATCAGTTTAATCTCTAATCTGTCCAAACTTATTCCAAAAAGAAATACAAATTTAAATTTAACTCTTCAATTGGTATGCTAGAAGTTATTTGTAATACATAAAAAGTTTCAATAACTGAAAATTAATTTTAAATCACTTTGCCAATCCATGCCATTTAAATTATGAAACAAGTTTCAGCAGCGCTTTAAGATTTTATCATAAAATCTTTAGATTTTAACATAATCTCAATTCTTCTTGAAGATTTTAACTTATTAACTTTTCAACTGATGAAATTAACTTTTCATCTTTTTTTAAAAATTGGAGATATAAGAGATATAACATTAGCAATAACATTTTCTTAAGCAAACATAAATTACTTTGATTTGTAGAATATTTTGTATCGATAAATTTTTAAATCGGTTGATGCATATTTTATACATTTAATTATAAATTCACTTCTAATACTATTTAATTATAATTACAATATTATTCACCAACTCAACTTTATGCATTAACTTATACACACCGTGGTACTGAGGTACCACTATGCTACCTCAAGTACTACTCCTCCTTATTTATCAAGTACTCATGTTAAGGCACCCCATACCAAGCACCTCACGTCACGCCAACTCACGTCAAAAAGGTAAGACTTACCTTTTTGGCAACTGAAACCTAAACCCAATCAGGTGGTCGCGTTGAAAACGGTCACTTTTTAACAATTTTTCAAGTTTTATTGCTGAGAAGCGCATTCCGGATTCTCATTGTTGGTAGTGATGGATCAGTTCCGGAAATTCCCGAGAACTGTCTTTGTTGGTGATCTTTCATTTACGGATAATTTCATTTGCATAAAATAAAATCTGTTGAATTTTGGTTCCTTCATTTTTCTAGAGAATGACGAAGTTCACGGAGTAGGATCGTTTGTTTGATTGTCATTCATTTTTCGGAGATAACATTTTTTATGTGTTTATAGGAGATGGAAATATTTCGATGTAGAATGATACTACATGCAAGACGACTGTGGGTGTCACCACATTTCATGAAAGGTCATTCGAAATGGGATAACATTAAGGATACTAAGGTTTATTTGCATATTACTTTTATTGTTTACTGCCCATATAATATGACAGTATATGATATAATATGCCAAGTATATCACTTTATTTGCACTTATGTTCCAACTGTGTCGAACTGTCTCAAATTTCTGTTTTCAAATTGGAATTTGATTGGTTGTAATAAATCTAGAAAAATTTAGTTAATTAAAGATATAATTATGATTATACTACAATTAAAGATGCTTCCATAAGCTCATCTGATGGTTTTTGGCAAAAATTTTCAAGATGCAGTATAATATGTCATATCATGTATATCACTTTATATTGCACTTATGTCCCAACTGTGTTGAACTGTCTCAAATTTCTGTTTTCGATCAAATCTTCAAGGTGCGATCAAATCTTAATTTAAAAAATAAAAAATTAAAGTAATCATTAGAATGTTTCAAATTTCTCTCTTTATGTGTCTGCTAAATATTAATACGTTTGAGTAATTCGAGTTAATATTAGCTTGCAGCTATGGTTAATAAAACAAAAACAGCTGAACAATTAATGGCTAAAATGAAACGAATTGTTCGAACTGGTGGGCCTGATCTCAAATTCAACAAAGATTTAGTACAGTTGCAGTTGGAATATAGGAACGCAAACTTTCCTGATGAAACCTTTCAACGTGCTTTAAAGAATGTGCAAGTAAGGATCTTGTATTGTAAAAATTATTTTTTGGAAGGGAAATATTAACGTAACCAGTTAACCATTTCGATTATGTCTAGTAGAAATTATGCTAATATTCGTCAAGTATTTACTACAATATTTTAAGGCAGTTCATAAAGTGGTTTTAACTATTAATTTAGCTTGGAATTAAATTTTTTTATAATGCGTCTTTTTACCGTAATATCTTTTTATCATTTTACATTAATATTTATCTACTGCGCTTTTTCATCTCATACTTATTGATAGAAATAAAATGTTCCTCTATATATGATTACTTGGTAAAGAAAATGATTACAATTGCAGTCTTTAAAGAAATATTTGCTTAAATATTATAATCGTTCATCGTTATAATTTGCTAGTTACTGTTTTTTATTCTAAAACTAACAAACTGCTGCTCAATTAATACCGAAAAAGATGTAAAAGAGAATTGATATTAAGTGTTATATGATTCAGTCTATTTCAGTTTTAAGCATGCAATATTCATATTCCTTTTACTTATTCTAAGTACTTTAAATTTCTTATGTATTTACTGGACTGTTGAAAATTTTTTCTTTTTATTCCAGCTCCAGCCAGTAAAAACAGCGAAAATTACTTTGCTCGGACCTTCTGGATCAGTTTTTATCATCGAATCGGAAGGCTTATCACAAAAAAAACTGCTAGAGTTTCTTACAACATCTGTATATAAGGTATTCAAAAACAAGATATTTCAAACAAGATTTTTTTTTTTTTTTTGTAGTAAAGTGATCTTTGTAACAACATCTGTATAAAAGCTTTGTCTGTTTCTGTATAAATTTTTTTTGTGTAAATTTTTCTGTATAAATTTTTAAAATTCTAAATTATACTACTAACTTCGGTTTTCTTATATTATGGATTTGGTTTTCAGATTGGCGATGGATTTCAATTGTCAAAGAACGATTATAGCCGAAGTTTTGAGGACAAAGGTGTTATTATCGTTAGTGCTATTAAGGCCAATAAAACATTATCATTAGATGAGGTTATTGACACTTCCATTTCGTATATTTGATGATGTGCGATTTTTTATTTATAAACATTAGATTGAGTGTCGAAGATGTTATTTATTGCTCTTCAGAATTCTATCAACTTCATTTACTTTTTTATAATCAGTCTGTAATTCAGATTGTTAATCCTTATTGCCAATTTCAGTACATTATAATGTGAATTCTAAAACAAAGTTTTTTTTTCTTTTTCGTTTTTATTTAATTGTAGAATTCTTATAAGATTTTATTATTTAGATGGAAGAAATGTGTATAGAATTGGATTGCGATGATGTCAATAAATTTGAAGAGGATGGAGCAACATTTTATGAATTAGTTTGCGTACGAAAGAAATTTGCTCAATTATTGGCTTTTGTTGAGAAAGAAGGCTTTAGTGTTAAATGTTCTGCTTTGGAACTACGTGCAGTCAGTCCGGTTGAAATAGAGAAACATGAAACAGAAAAGGTACGGCTATTTTGCTTAGTTGCAGCTGTTGTTTTATTTGTTCTCTAAAACTTGTTTCTGATGCATGAAATAGGAATTTTACTTTCATTTTTTAGATCATTCAGTTGTATCAAATGCTACGGGAAAATGAAGGTATCACTCAAGTTTACGCCAATATAAGGCCAAATTCTATACCGATAAGGCCTGTCAAGTTAAAAGTTGCAACGCAATGACATTTAATGGTTTGTGCCGGGTGAATGATTTATCTGTGCTTCAGTTTGTATAATAACTATTGATAAATTTATTGATATCATGACTATGAATAAATTTATTGATTTATATTACTGTGCGAATTTTATTGATTCTTATTAAAAAAAAACCAACCAATGATTTTCAAGACATTTATTGATTCAAAATACGAAAAAATAATGTCTAAAACTCTAGAAATTTATAAGAATACAGTGGATGACAACGTATAAGAATCATTGCACATAATAAATTATGTGAACTAAATTCAAATCAAATAAATGGAAGATTAGAATATTTTATCCTTGTTTTGAAAATGAGGAATGTCGCAATTGAATGTCAAAATTTAGCATTAAATTTAAAATTTGCAGTAGGATAACAAGGAAGTAAGACCGTAGTTGAAGAAAAAAACAGATTCAATTTAGTTTTTTAAGAAACATACATGATTACTCTAATACGGTAGGGTAAATGAGGGGTGAAGCATCTCCTAATCTTTAAAAGCGAGACAGATTTTGAAAAGGATCAAATCGCAAATTTGAAAATCGGACTAGCTGGCATCGAGTAAACAAAAAAGTACGATGTAGCACATAACAATTAGTTTAATATGATTATGTGAAGCAAATATATTTAGCAGAAGTTAATTGTTATATAAAAAATATTTTTCTCCTTGGTTTGCTGTTTTTTCGAATCTTAGACGGACCGCAGAAGCATGCGCGTAACGTTGGACCTTCTGCTGATCCTCGACAAAAACAGGACTGTACCTTACGATTACCATCCCTCCAACATGCATTTTGGCATGATTGCATGATGCATCGATCCAAACTTCCAAAATCACTAAACTGATTCATTGTTACTTTCCATTAAAAATTTACAAATTATATTTAATAATTCACTTTATGATAAGTGATACGATATGATGTATGTGATCTGTTATGATCTGATATATATGATGATACGATGATTGATATGATACGTGATATGATATGATAACTGATTAAGATGTGATCCATTATATGATACATAATACAGTACGACACGTATGATATGTACATTGGCTATTGTGATATCTGATGTGATACGATATATATTATTATATAATACGGTATTATATGGTACGGTATGATGTGATATAATATGTATGATATGATATAACATATTACATATTATATATTTTATGTAATATAATAACAAAATAAACAATGAATTGAGTATTAAACTAAAATAAATGAGGTAAGACAAAATTAAAAGAGAAGAAGTTAGGAAAGAGTCCAAAATAGATTAGTTAACAAATATTTCAATTTCTGTCATAATTTCAAATCTTAGTAACATTTCATTTTGATCATTCTAATTAACAAAATCAACAATGCTTCAAACAAATTAAAAAAAAAAAAATTTATTTTCACTATCTACTAATTCATTAGTTGAATTGAGCTAGTCATTCAACTTCTTTACATCATCCGCTAATGCTTTTCATTCCCGAGATATGCTATCCTTATCTTCCATTTCTCTTCAAGCATATTATAATTTCATATTATAATTCAATTATTCCTTATCAATATAAATTGTTATTCCTAGAAAGATACTTAGCAATGAAATGCTGCTTAAAATTGAAGAATAAACTTACCAAGGAAGTGTTATGTGAGAGCTACAAGTAGCTTTACAGCTTTGAAATGTTTTAGAATTCTTTACCAATGTCGGTTGAGGTGTCACATTCGGCAATAATACAAATATAATTATAGATGATAAAATGACAACGTTATTTTCATTGCTATACGATGATGACACTATCATTTGAAAAATTATTGCTGCAGCTGTTGTTGTTGATTTTATGAAATATAAAATTTAAATTTATAAATTAATGCTAGCAAAACAAAGGAAGGGAAAAAGAGATCAGCATAAGACGAATAATAGATTTCGTTAACTAATATCAGTTGTAAATGAATGTGCACAATGTCTCTTCCACATAGGGAAGAGGGCTGTTTATATTATTTAATAGTTGTAATTCGGAAAAAGGGCATTTGCAATTAAAGATGATAGAAAAGATTTAAAGATTGGTTGAGAAGTGCTATTTGATACTCCGATAAACATCAATTATTTTTGGTGATACTTTTGCCTGCAGAAACTCTCGAGAACAAGTTTTAATGAAAATCTTTCAGACATTTACTTAATCGAACAAAGGCAGAAACGAGTACAGGTTACATAAGGAACTGGTCATCTGCATCACTTGTGAAGCAAAAGCTGTTCCACTGATTAATTAATTCTTATCATTCTTATCGCAAATAGTTAATTCGTATCACACAATTGCAATTCTCAAATAAGCAAACTTTTTTTCTTCCTTTTTTATTTAAACTTTTTTCGTAATTTAATTATATAATAAATGATAGTAAATAATAAAATTGCTAAAATACATTTTAATTTATATTTCAAATGCAAAGGCAAATAAATATTTTATTCATTTGTTAATGAAATTGGTGAGCATTATTTTGAATAATTTGATAATACCATATGGTATTATCTAGTTTTGTTTAGTGAATTGTGATTTTTTGACAAAAAAAAAAAGGAAAAACAAACAAACAGAAGCAAAAGACTTCTTTTTTTTCAATAATTCTTTCATTTCTTTTCTTCCATATAATTTTTCCTAATTGTTTCTCTTTTAAAATAATTCACTTATTTTCATTTTTGAATAAATTCAAATAATTCTCGTCGTTACCAATTCTTTTCGTTTCTTTTTTTTTTTGCTTCGTGCAAATTTTACACGAAACTGAAAGTTTTTTTTTTTTTTTTATAGATAGCATTTCAAATTATTAAACCGAAAATTAGCATATCAAAAAGCTCCATCCATTTTCGAAATATACACCGTCCAATATCTAAAAAAAGAAAAGTATTTTAACTTGTTTTTAACGGAATAAATTTAATGATAATTCAATGTGCTCTGTGACATTTTTTTAGAATAATAAAAAATTTATATTACGTAACTTTAGTTTCATCAATTAAAATTTTGATAAAAAAATTTTTTTGGCAAATTATTCTAAACAAAGCATTGCAAATATGTTTTTCTCCTTGGTGTTTGCAAAATTTTTGAATCACCAATAATTTAAACACTTCTACATAAGTATACAACTAGAGGTTATTTGATTATTTAGTACTTCCAAATTTGAATGTCACAATTTATAAATGATAACTGACACTATATTGAAGAGAAGAAATGATAGAGGAAATAATCGCATTGAATAATAGTCGACCTTAAAAAAAAGAAATATTTTTAAGTTTCAGTATGAATTAGTCACTTCATTCCAAAATCTTTACTTAAATTTAAGCATTAAAATGATTCCATTTCAGAACCCTACTTGGTTCAAATATTGAGATTTTTGGACTGAATTTCATTTAATTCTTAAGTAATATCTATATGTTCCATTAACCTATACATCTTCTTATTTACTTTTAATGTAGTAGCGATAAAAAGAAAACAAATAAAACTCTTTTAGCTTATTTTTTAAATTTTCAAACTTTGATCTTCAAAAAAAAAAAGGTTTTTTTTTCGACTACAATTCACAACAAATGTCCTGAATTAATTGTGAAGTTATATTGCAGTAAAAGAAAAACAAGTTTTTTGCTTCTCAATTCGTCAGTTGAGAAAATTCTCTATAATACATTGTTAATTTTTGATCAAGTAAAATTTTGATTTAATTCCTCTATTATTTATTTTCCTTTCACTACTAAAACTCATTCATTAAAATGATTTACAGTTTTTCCTTCTCCTTTAAATTTATTAAATAAATTTATTGAAATGTTTACACTTATTTCTTTGTTTAGAAAAGAAATAACTATCTTTGGTGAAAAAAAAAAAAAAAACTAATTGTGAGAAACAAAAAAATTACTCATTAATTTATACCTGTGCAGCAGTAATCGTCCAATCTCGATCACGAAGTTGAACCAATAATTTTCTGATATCTATTATTGGCTGAAGATGAAAAAACCAAAAAAAGAAACGAAGGAGAAATATGAAGAAAATTTAATATATTCTATTAGACAACGATTTATGCATAAATTTTTGAATTCCTATTAAAACTTAAGAAGAAAGTTACCCATTTAAAAAAACGATGTTCATTTGAAGTATTCTCTTTGTTATCACTAGTAATATCAATATCTGTTGTAGCATTTCCTGCTTTGCGCAATTTTTCTAGATTCATTATGGATGAAATATTTTGTCTCCGTAAAACTTTCACATTGCTATCACTTGAATTTCCATTCAGGTTTTTCCGTTTTCTTCAAAAAAAAAAAAAAAGAAAACACTAATTTTTGAATGGATGATTTAATCAACTTCAATGGGTTAAATTTGTTGCCAGTTAAAATGAATACTGCTAATACATATATATATAATATTTCCTGCATATATTCATTTATTTATTTATCCAGTTTACTCATTAATTTATTTTATTTAATTAATTAATATATTTAGAGTGGAACAAAATTTTAATGGCAGATTATAAATTTTTGCTAAAACTTATAATTTATGAGCTATTTCCTAGAAATTATATCTGTTATTGAGAACCTTATTTGATTGATCCATTGATTAACCGCATGGCTTCCAATTTGTTTTTCGCGTTCATAGCTGCAAAACAAAAAAAATACAAATCGACTTTAGTGAAGCAGTTTAAATGCAAAGCAAAAATTATTCATTTAAATTGAATAATAATTCATAACGATTTCACATTTTAACTATTTCATATTGCATTTTAACTATTCACTGATTGCTAAATTTGTTCTCAAATTTAAAATTAACAAAAATTTCAACAAAATGTAATAAATACTAACTGATTAAGCCGGCAAATGATAGCTAATTCAACAAGTGTACAGAAAATAAAAATAATCGAACTAATCATCCATACATCCAAGCACTGAAACATTTAATTTTAATATATAAACATATCACATGGATAAATTCAATTAGTTTAAAGTTTTTTTTTTCTCTTTTTTTGCAGTCAGAACAACGATTAAAAAGCTATGAATGTTGAAAAAGCGACTAAAATATATTTTGGCTTAAGCCAAAACTTTTTCCAAAAAAGTTCTTTTTCTTCAAAGGAAGAAATTTGTTTGTTTTTATTAGCGAGTTTAAAGGAATGAATTAACAAAAGTTATAATAATTATATGAAATAATCTTCTTTTTCTTTTTTTGAAAAATAAAAACTTTTGTAGAAATTACCGTTTTATATTTTATAATTAATTGTTGAATAGAATATTGCACTTTCAGTAATTGATTACTTAAAGAAGAAACATGGAAAGTGAAGTGAAAAAGATAAGCGTAAACTAACTTTGATATAGCTAGCACGTGGCAAATGACGTAATACACTACCAAATTGAAAACTTACTGCTAATAACGATGACACACCCAATGTTATCCTTTAAAAAGAAAACGAAAATTTTTTATTTATTGAATTTGAAAAATCGAATTTGTGATGGTACTGTTGTTCGGTAGCATTGATTGTATATACTGTAGATGAAATTATTACTGTAGGGATAGATACGGTATTTAAATATGATAATATAAAAAGTGCGAAATTCAAATATTTTAAATCATACACTATGGAGTATAATTTATAATAACAATATATTTGCTAACTTTGCGGAAGCAGCTCGTACGTCAAAAAAGAATCCAACCCAAGAGCTAATAACAGTTAATGACGTTGGAAAATACGATTGAAAGAGATAGAAACCGTATCGTCGTGCAAATTTAAATTCAACCTGCAAAAAATTTTTTTAATAAAAATCTGAAATTCAATAAAATTAGTTATTATTTTACTTTAAATTCCAATGTTTCTCCAAATAACAATTAAGGAATATTCGAATATTATTTGACAAATTTGTCAAACACTTGTATTTTTCGACAGAGTTAAGAACTTTTAAAATAATTGCTGCTTCAATCATTTTTTTTTACCATATTTTTTATACATAAATATACTAAGAATGATTTTTTTTACGACATTAACTCATGAAATGTTGTATTTTCAGCTTTTAAATGCATTAATTAGCAGTATTAAGATTAAATTTGAAACATTTTTTCGATTAATTAAAAATTTTAATTAGATTTTATTTTCATTTGAAAATATTAATTTTTTTTTCTGTTTGTTACATTTTTTTGAAACAATAAATTGTTAATTTGAATGCTTTAACACAAACGGATATCTGATTTTGGTTCATGCAAACATAATCTAAAAAAAATGTTTCGTTGAATTAATTAAATTTTGAATTTTTTGCAAAAATTTCTAACATTAAAAGGATATTGTTGGATATATACTGGGAATTTTGACCGAATTAGTAAGCAAAATTAATTTACCATTGCCCTATCCCACTCTCCATTCGGATATTGTGACCTTTCATGATCCGTCCTCCAACCAATTAATTCGAAATCAGGTAACTCAACTATTTCCATCATTGTTAATGGTTTTTCATGCCAGAATAATCGCACTTCATCGGCATTAAACGAATAGCTTTCAAAAGTAAGCTTACAAATGATTGAATCAAACGGAAACATTCTTAAATCCATTTTGCATGGTGCTCTAACTTTAAGTCTGAAAATAGAAAAAACTATAGTAACATTAATTAATACTTTTAAAATCAAACTTCAATAGTTCTAGAATCTATAATATACTGTCTTAATGTTTTAAAAAATTTTACATTATTTGATACTTAGATTTGGAAAATAAATTGCAGGATGAAATGATAAAAATATGGCTTTGATAATTTTATTGTCATGTCATTTCTTCTTAAATAATTAATTTCAAACAAAAAAATAAACGAATATTTTTGAATGTCATATTATTAATTTTCATTTCATCAATTTTTCATTTCGTCATACTTACATCTAACGTACAGAAAAGTGATAAAATCAAAATTATTAATATGAAATTTAAAAGTGTTTACTTCTTTTTGTTTTTAAAACCAACCTGAAATTACTCCATACTATTCCATTTTCATATAAGATAATGAAAGTATTCTCTGATGGTGAAGTGTGTATCGATGAATGCCTGCTATTAATAATACATGTTTCCGGTGTCCAAATCCTCTTCCGAAATTCACCTTTTAAAGTAATATTTGTTGCGCAAATATTTAACTGTTTAAAATTTAATCGTTGATCTTCCCAGATTTCACTATACATAAAGTCTAATTCAAAATCACCGGTTAATTCCGAAATGGCTGTAATACCCTGAAAATAAACAATATTATGCATTCTTTCACATTCATTTTCAATAATTTTTCCTAACGATCAAAAATTTTGTCTCACTTTTTTCTTTCCATTTCATTCCTTTTTCGTTTTCCTTAAATCATAGTCTGTTTGGAAAATAACTTTAATGAAGACGTCCAAATACTTTAAAGACATTTGTAGTTCAAAAAATAGTAAATTTTGAATAAGTAAGATGTGATAAATTTAAAGAGAGAGAAAGTGATAAATTATGATGATATATGATAACAAAAATAAAAACTAATGAATTAAATGAGAAGTGATAAATAGTGATATAAAAAACATGAATGGAAGTTAATAAATTCTAAATTAAAAGTAAAATCTGATAAATATGAGTAAAAAATAATGAACTCAAAATGGAGATAATGAATGATAAATAAAAGTAAAATGTGGAAAAAAAAAAAGTTGATGAAGGCAATAAATATAAAGTAACGAAGAAAAAGGAACATAACAAAGGATTAAAAATATAAGCGAGTATTATTGAAAAAGATTTTCAACTTCCTTTTTATCGGTAAGAAAGATAAAAATCTCACTTAACTCACAAATGACTAAATTGAAAGTTTGAAATTTAATTGAAATGATAAGCAGTTGATGGTGTTTACCTACCTGCACATGCATTTCAATTGTAACATTAACACCTTCATTAGATGGTAGTAAATGAATATCATAATCATTGAGCAATGCGTTGATTATATGTCCCAAATTAATTGTATTCCTGAAATAAATTATATTTTCAAAATGAAATGAGCATTTAATAGCATATTTGGTTAGATTTGTTTATAATATCATCTACAGTAATCATTCATATGTCATTGTTGTCCGTTATTTTTATTCTATTCCTTATTTTTTTATTTGAAAATATCAATTGACTCAAACTAATATGTCATATTTCATTCTTTTCATCTTAATTAAGCTATTTAAAATTTCAAATAATTGATTTTTAAATTGTGATATTTATTCAGTGATTTCTAATTTATTTTTTATTATCTGTTAATCGTTTTTCTTTTTATCAAAACTGTAGAAGCAACCGAAATATACATCAGTTATTGGTCATCGCTGTAAAAATCATTATTGGTTGAACTTGAATACCAGAAATAACTTCATTTAATTTTTAATCTTAATTATAAATATTCATGTGATATATCAGATAGTGCAAAGGAGTGAATAACTTAATAATTTCTATCATTAATAAAGATTGATTTTCAAGGTGATAGATGACAGAAAAAAAAAGCATCTTGTGGTTATTATCTCTTTAAATTATATTTTATGAGATAAATTCATCAAATTAAATTGCAATGGCCGATTTTGATTCGAAATGGAATTTACTCAAAAATGATACGTAATAAAAAAATTCTATCAAAAGTGGTAGAATTTTACTAAATTTTTTTAATTCACTTTTTCTGCACTTTTCTATTTTTCTCGAAATATTAATCTTATCTTTTACAAAACATTTTAGTCTGTAATTTTTGGACATATTAGAAGGAAATTTTGCCGGTAAATAAGATCCAACAATTTATTCCTTTTTTTCTTTTCCTCTTCATGTCTCTTTCTCTCGCTGTTTTTTACCTTATTGTTTCAGTAAGAAATTTCAATTAATATGTTACAAATTAAAAATGCAAAAGAAAGAAAAATATCTCAAAGATCACTCAATTTAAATCTTTAAATATCATTCATATGCCAAGCAAAACTGTAATGCAAATTAAAATTTAATAAAAGGGAAAAAAGAAATTATTGTTTGATACTAATCAATAAACATTTGTTTTTATTATAAAATTTGCATTTGTCAAATAATTATATTAATTGTATTTAAAATTTCAAACGATTATCATTTATTTTGCAATTATTAAAGAGAAAGTAAAATTTTTTGGTATTGAAAAGTTTTTTTATTTATATTTTTTTGCATTTTCTGCTGATAATGTTAACTAATAAAACAAATTCATTAAGTGAAGAAATTTAACAATGAAAATATCTGATAAGATAATTAATTAAAGCATATGGTGTTTGTTTGTAGTTAAATAAGACATTATTACTATCAATAAATTTTATTGAAATTTCAAATAAAAGACTGATTCAATGTTTCATTATTGACGATTTGTAAGCCTGATTGATATATATCAGTTAGAAAAAATGAAAGCATTTCTTTTCTTTTTTTTTTTAAAACATACATTTGATTTTAGAGTTGTAAAATATTTCGTCAAAACTTCAAGTATAACATAAACAAGAAAAAAACTTTAACATTTCAAGCAGCAAATTGGATTTGAAATCGATGGAAAAAATAAATTCTAATTTGACTTGATAAAATAGAAATAATTTCCATTGTTTATTAATTTTATTAATAAATATTTATTAACAAAAATTTGTAGCAAATAATGGATTATTACTTTGTAATTAAAAAAAAAATTTATAATTAAATATAATTGTAGATTTGAAATAAATGTGAATATTTCCTGAGAAAAAACCATTATCCTATCATCTTTCCAGCAAAGTTTAAGATTACAATTTGTTATATCTTGGCATTATCTTATTATCACTGATAATACTGATATTTACCAAACTATAAAAAATGATAAATGCAAATATCACTAATAATATTTGTGATAATTCTGTAAATCCATTAAAGATAAATTTAATATTTTAGTAACGTTTAATAGGCATATATCATTGGAACTAACAATTAGTGATAAAAAAAAAAGAAAGAAATAAGTGAGAAAAATCAAATGGAATTAACCAAGAAAGTTGCAATTGTTTTAAACTGCTTGCTGGAATGAATTAATTAACGCATTTTTCTTTATTAATAATAAAATATGGCTGATAAAATTATTTCAAAAAACTATTAAATTGGGAAAAGATTTTTTTAAACTGAGTAAGAAGTAAAATCATTCGAAAATCAAAATAAAATTTATTCAATGCTCATTTTGTCAATATATGAATTTGAAAATAATTGCTTACTTATTTTCTTATCACTTCGAAACTTATCACTTCTCTTATCAGTCTTATTTTTGATATTTTGATAACATCATAAAATCAATTCTCTGAATTTTTTCTTAATATATTTTGCACAAATTTCTGGATGTTGCTAAAATTTCAATGCAATGAATGCATGTTGCAATAATATCTTAATTTCTTTAATTAATATTTAGTAAACTATCAATTAAATGCATTTAATTCATTTCTTTAAAACATTCATAATAGTAATCAAAATTTTACAAATTTCAAAAAATTAATGAAATCCTCAAGTGACTTTCGTTTTTTAAACATTTTTTATTACATTAATGAGTAAATGCTTCATATCAATAATAAGTTTATTGTTATATATTCAAAGCAAGCAAATCAAATGCTAACTTGCTGAGATGAAATGTTATTATTGATGGATATCTATTGAGAGAAATTAAATCTAAATTTTATGTAACAATAATATTACTTGATAATAATAATAATAATAATAATAACAATAATAATAATAATAATAATAATAATAATAATAACAACAATAATAAGAGTAATAATAAAATACAATAGTGATAGTAATAATAACAATGAAGATAATACTAATAACAAATAATAATCACAATGACAATAGTATTGATAGTAATGTTAATGAAAAATTTCACTTTGAAAAAATGTTCTTCCATCTTATGAAAAGAGCTATTGTCCTTACTTACTTTTATTTTAACTTCTTTAAATTTACTTTTATTTTAAATCCCTCCTTTTCTACAGATAGAAAAAATGCGAGTTTTTCTTTTATTTAATAAATTAAGCTATGATAACAGTTGTTAAACAATCGAATTGTTTTCATAGAAAATGATTGATTAGCTATAGTTCAATTTCATTAATAGTTTTCAAATTTTTAACTTATATATATACAAAATATATTTTACATACAGATATTTTAACTTATATATTCTGTTTGCCCTTGCAAATTTTCTTCAAGTTTTAACGTTTTTTGTTTTTTTAATTTGTTTTATACATCCAATTTCAGTGGATTAGAATTTATGAATTAAATTTATAGCTTTGAAAAAAAAAAACTATATAAAAATGTAAAATAATATTATGGATTACTACACCACTTGAAAACCTCTTTGATCTTACTTTATATGAAATGTTAGTTCTTATAAACAAATAGGTAATCATTATTATTAATAAGATGATGTTCTTTTTTATTGTTTGGGTATCTAATATTAAACTAACAAAAGATACTTTAGTTATTGGTTTTTTATTGTTTAGTTTCATCATGTCATTAAATTTTTGAATATTTATTGACAGTTAATGAATCATTATTTTAATCATTGTTCATTTATAAGTTAAAACTGTGCCAATGAACCATACTAATTAATGCTAATTTTTTATTATGATTGAATTTACAGTAAATTTTTCTTACTTTCTGCACTGATCATTTTGTATTATCACTGATAAATATGGCGATAGGCAAATTGTAATACTAAATTATTGAAATAAAATATAACAGACGAATTTTTCATAAAAATAGAGTAAAGGGAAAACTCTCAGGAATTTTTTTGCATTATTTCAATATTTCAATAATTGAAATAAACTTTTTTTACCTTCTACATTGATTATCTGTGGCAGTAGTAGTAATACTGGCAGTAGTAGTAGTAGCAGTAGCAGTAACTGTAGTAATAATAGTAATAATAGCAATAAAAATACAAATATTTATTAGATTATGATTGTAATTATAATATATGAACATTAATTAATCAGTTCGTTGATTCCTTCTTCTAAAATTTTGTCCGTGAAAATAACTTTGCAAATAATTCTTTTACTTTTTTCTCACTGCGATTTGATTAGTTTAAATGAAGAAGAAGCAATCATAGAATCTTAATGGATGAGTAAAAATGTTTGCAATACATTTTCTTAGATAAATTTAAAATGCAGTAATAACATAACTTGCTTTTTTCTCTCCCTCCTTCCTTTCCTTTCTCTCTTTCTCTCTCTCTTCTATTCTCGTCCTATTATTGTTATTGTTTTCATAAATGAGCAAAAATAATTGCAATAACATTAAATTTTTTTCGTTATTGTTTAACTGAAAATCATATATTCCTATTATTACTTTTATTATTATTGCTGTTATTGTTTTTTATTTATTAATTATAGAATAAGAAAAAGGACAACTTGAAAATTTTTATTATATTTCAGTTAAAATTAAATAAATTTCCCTCAAAGATTAAAATTTAATTGTACTAGCGACCAAAAATTTCATTCGTTAAAATATTCTTTAATTGACAATAAAATTTGCCATTTTTTTTTGGGAAAAAATGGATCACAACAAAAGCAAAAGTTATTTGTATAACAAAAGCTAAAAATAGCAATATTTTTGCACATTCATTGTTTTTTTTCTTCATAAATAAAAATTTCGATTCAAAATTTAAATTAAAAATTCTTATATGGGTTACAAATAAATCACTAAAATTTTTGTCAAAATGAAAATTTCTGAAACTGATATTTATTTAAACTTGAAAGAAGTCATTAGTGGCGTAGTAAAAAAGAGAATGAAAAAGAAAATTTATTTTTAAAAAAAAATTCGAGTAATAATTGCCAGTTCATTGTTTCCATATTATTCTTTTTTTTAATATTCCTCTCTTTTTTTAAAATTTGTTTTTTTT